CCCTGGCGGCCCGGAGGAGCACCGGCCGCCTCCCTCCGCGCAGCGCCCCCAGTTCCCTCCCCTCGACCCCCCACTCCAGCTCGCAGCGCGACCCTTTACACAACAAACACCCGTAGAAGCTGGTTTTAAATGTATATTTTTATATAAGGTATGCAAAACCCTTGAGAACAGCAACCCCAGCGCCCTGCTAGGCGGTGGAGCTGGTACGACTCCCCCATGAGGGGACAGATTTGGGGGTGCGTGAGGGCAGCGGGGGTCTCCCTGCGGCATTTTGGAGCACAGTAGGCAGGGAAGAGCCCACCCGGCGGGTGATCTTCTCCACTGCCTGTTGTCAGCCAGCCTTAGGAAAGGGGGTACGTACCGCTGGGCCGCGGTGGGGAAAGGCAAAGTGCTCGTTAATGGCGTCACCCGTTGGGGCACCGAGCCGGCCGTTACACGGCACCGCGCAGTGCTGGGGGCGTCTTGTCACTCGCGGCCCTACAGGTAGCACCGACATGGCCAGGAGGCCCCAGCCAGCCCCACACCCCACACGCGGGGGAAGCCAAAGCTCCGGGCCACCCTCCTCACTCCCCTGCTCCGGCCACCTCTTCTTCTTCACTTCCTCCTCCGGCTGTGGTGCTTCAGCTCCTCCAGCTCCTTCTCCATCAGGTGGGTCTCAGCGGTCGTCTCGGAGAGCTGCAACAAACGACAGGAGTGAGCGAGTCCCCCAACCTCCACCCCGCGCTACGGCTGTGGGGACACCACCGGATCGGTGACCTCGCCGCGTTCCTCGGACACGGGAGGTGAAAGCTCCCTCGAGGGGCTGGAGATCGTCCTCCCTCTGGGGAAGCACCTCGTGTCACGGCAGCCTCGGAAGCTTTTCCGATTTCACAGCACCGCCCTTCCAGAGGCGTCAGCGAGATTCACAGCCGTAGGCCAGCGCCCGAGCGCGCGAGGGCATTTTGCTCCCGTTCCAGCAAGAGGGCAGCTGGGATTTCGCGCTTCGCTCAGGTCGCCTAGAAAACCTGGAGAGCAGCTGGAGCTCCCGCTAAGCGCTCTGGCTTGCCAGTTTTAAAACACAGGGAAGAACGTCAGGAGAACGATGAAGGGTTAAGTAGGTGTTTGCTCAGGCTGAAATAAGGGCTAAATCACTAACCAAGTGAGAATACGCACGTATTCTGTTTCGCTGAAAATGTCTCCAGATTTTAAATCAATTTTAAATCAATCTTAATTCATTTTCACGCTGTGATCCCTGGGTAAGGTGGAATTTCAGTTTGTTTAGGGCTTGGGAATTCTTTCATCCACAGGTTTACACACAGAATAGGTGTCACACCACTTGTGACAGCAGATGGAAGAAGCTTTAACGTTCCATGACCCGAAAGAGTGGCTGTAATGCGGTTTCACAGGGCAGAGGGGCGAGGAAAACGCCGTGCTCCACGCAGAAAGGGAAAGGGGAGACAGGGCACTTGCAGGGGCTCCCCTCTGATCCCACCACAGCGTCCACCAAAGTCAGGCTCTGCTGCAGGCAGGGGGGGAACCTTGTCCGCTCCTCGCAGGGGAGATCAGACTTTCCTCCCACAGTCGCTTTGCCGGCACGGCTGTCTGGCGCGGCAGGGAGGAGCAGGGCGCAGCCAGAACGGCCTCCTTTGGCCGCCCCAGCACCCCTAGCGTGGGCGTTTCCGCTGCAGCTGGGGAAAGACTCACCATGTCCAGCAGAATATCCACTTTCAGCCGAAGGAGGTTGTTTTCTTCCTCGAGCTGCTGGTTCCGTTTGCGCAAGCGCTGCATTTCCCTGCGATCCCCCGTGAAGCTTCCTGATTCTGGAAGGAAAGAGAGAGGTCAAAATACAGACTGCCAGCCAACTGTGGCTACCTCAGGTCAGAGCCGAGCTGCTCTCTACCTGCCACCCACTGGCCATTTTCAAACTTGAGGCTCTGGCCGGCGAGGTTCATGGTGGGGATGCTGTATTCCGGGCCCTGATCGATCGCATGGGCCGATCTATCCAGCTGCAGGGAGAAGATCACGCTCAGCGTCTACAGAGATCCAAAGCCACCCCCTGCTCTCCCATCTCCTTAGGGTCTGGCCTTCCAACGAAAGCTGCTGGTCCGACTGGCCCTGGAGCCTGAAATCCTGCTCTGGAGGATGAGCTCCGCTCACTGCCGTGCCTGCGCTTTTTCCCGCCCAAATACACACTCGTCTCCCTGGGCTCGGAGACCATCGGTGAGAAGTTTCGGGTGAAAGTTCTGGATCGCGGGTGGGGCGATGACGGCCCTTCCCTGCGCCATTCCGTTTCAACCTTCATATACAGCCACCAGCAGCGTCGCCGCAGGAGGGAAGGGGCACGGCTGGGACCCCTTTCAGGGTGACGCCGCTCACCCCCGGCCACCGAGCAGGCGTTTCCGCAGGCAGGGCGCGCGACTCACTTGCAAACTGGAGAGAGAGGCGCATTTCCTGGGGGGGGTCTTCTTTGGGCTGAAGGTGTTCCCGAAGAGAGGCATCGCGCGGTGCCGGCTGGGCGCACCGGGGCGCTCCCCACGGCCCTGCGCTGCTCCCCGCGGAC